CCCTGAAGACGAGTGTCCTTGACTGCAATGCTGCAATAACACTTTATGGCTCATTACAGCACAGACTGGGCTTTATGGCTCATTGCCACCACAGGCAAACTTGCCAGGACAGTTTATATTCTCCCACTGACAGGGCGCATCTACACTTGCGCATTTACTGTTCAGTAACTGAAATTACTGTGCAGTATGGGCATGTGTCTACACATGCATGCCCGCACTGTGCAGTAAGTATGGCGATTTGCACCAACTTCGGCATCACACAGGTATCAAATTTACACTTAATTAGTTATTGCGCAGTAACGCATGTGTAGACACCTTACTGCGCAGTAACACTGTGTGTGGAGACTGGTTTGGGACTAGCTTTAGTCCCAAGTCAGTCCACACACAGCATGAATGTGCTTTAATGCCTGCTTGTGTAGACACTGGTCTATTCCCGCTTACTGCATGGTAATTTACTGCGCAGTAACTTTAAGCCGGCATAAATGCACATGTAGACACACCCACAGGGTGTCTGACCAAGCTCCAGAAAGTGGCAGCATCCAGGGACCTGGTAGAGGGGATGGGGGAAGGGGACTCCTCCAACACTCTCTCAACCTCTCAACACACTCCAGAGCCAGGAAGGGGCAGGGACAGACTGACTGTTTGCAGTAACCTGATCCCTGGCGGCCAGGAGACCTGTGGGGAAAAGCCTAAGAGCCCACAGCCTGCCCTGGCACTAGGGCTTGGAGGATTCTGACAGAGACATCATGACTCTGTGGGCACGTCTACACATTGCTTGACAGTAATGTTGTTATTGCGCCATGCTTGGTGCATTAAGTAAAGCATGGTACACTAACCACCCGTACTGTGCCGTACATGCGGTGCACGGTTATTTTTAGCAGCTACATCGCCATAGCGGTGCACTATAACGGGGGAGCACACCACTATGGCAAAGTAGCTGCTGGTCATGTGTAGACACTTGTGGATGCTAGGTCGCCGTATTGCATCGCTATGGTGGTGTAGCGTCACATGTAGATGCGCCCTGTATCCAGCACCCAGGGAGTGAGACAAAACTGGGCAGAGCAAGAAGCCAGTCATTGCTTTCTCCACTTACTGCTCCTGTTGCCCCTTTCCTTCCCCCATGTCTGGAGCACTTGCTCACTGGTCTGTCTCTGGGGCATTTGTCTTGCCTGCCAGAAGTGAGAGCTTGCGTGCGTCAGTGAGGGAGCAGAGATGGGTGCAGAGGGACTGTGTGTGCAGAGAGCCACTGTCCTGCCCACCCCAGCGCTTTCCCTGATGTTTCTCTCCATTACCTGGAGTCTCCGACTCAGAAGCTGGTGTCAGCAGAGCCCAGGGCTGCCCTGGGGGGCTGGTTCCAGCCACCGAAGAAAGTTCCCCTGGGGCTAGAGCTTTAATGAAAAGTCTCACAGTGCACTCAGCAAGAAAACAGCAGCTGCTTATTCCTAACCCCGGCCACAATGGAGGCAGCAACAGCCACTGTCTTGCTCCGGAAGACAAGCCCCGGTATCCGGGATAGAGAAAGCACAGATGCAGAGAGCAGCCTCCCCTTCCTTAGCAATAGCCAGGGCCCTCTAGAGGCAACAGGGGCTGAATATTTCTCCCTGCTCCCCAATCCCTTTGGCAGGGGAATTTAGTCTGAGCAGAGCTGTGTCCTAGTGCAGCTAGATTGCTTGTGGTCCCTGAACCAGCTGGCTAACCATGAGCCCTATGCTATGCAGCTGGTGCACTGGAAACATGCTCTTAAATGCATTTATTTGCACATCACTTCTATGAGGGAGGGCATGGCTAGAAAGCAGGATCCCTTGGCTTCTCCCCCTTTATATAGATGGGAGAAGCCAAGGGCTAGGTCTGAAGAGAAATCGGGGCACTGTGCAGCTCAGTGCTCCAGTACCCTGTGTTCAGAGCCCTGGTTCCCAGGACTGGGCTCCAGAAACCGGAGGTCAGTGCTAAGGTTCCCTATATCTGCATGGGCACAGTCACACAATCCACAAGAGCAGGAGGCCCCTGGAGCCAGCTGACAGGGGATGTTGAGGATGGGGTGTGTGTCTGAAAGTCCACTGTCCTCTACAGCCCCTGTGACTCCTCTGTGTCATGAGGACCAGTTCCCTCCCTCTCCGGGGAACACTCAGCCCTGATCCCTCTCCTGAAGGCAGGTGCCTCCAGACTCTCCTGGAAGAATAGAGAGGAGTTGCTCTTTTAAAGCATGGCTGGAAGACAAAGTTGTGGTGCTCCCTCTTCATACAGCAGTAGCTCAGTGGTGAGGACACTCACATGTGGACTGGGGAACCTTGAGCTCCAGTACTTGCTCCAAGACAATGTGGGTGTATCTACATGTGCACATTTACTGCACAGTCATTTAGGTTATTGCACAGTAAGGGCATGTGTCTACATGTGCATGTCCTTACTGCATAGTAATTATGGCGACTTAAGCCAACTTGGGCATAAATTTGATACCTGCATCATGCAGGTATCAAATTTATGCCCGATTAGTTACTGCACAGTAACAAATGTGCAGATGCCTCACTGTGCAGTAATACTGTATGTGCGGACTGACTTGGGACTAACTTTAGCCCCAAGTTAGTCCACACACAACATTACTGCACTTTAACGGCTGCACGTGTAGATGCCAGCCTAAAAACTGCTTACTGCACAGTAACTTACTGCGCAGTAGATGCACATATAGATGCACCCTGTATGTATGTTACAGGAAGCAGTCATTGGATAGCAGGAGCCGCAACCCAGGAGATCAGCCCTCCCAGAAGAATACCCTGCCAACTGGATTAGACAGCCATGTTCACAATTGTGCTTTCTTTCTGGTACAGTGAGTCTCGAATTCCTCTACACACAGTGGAGCAGCTTTAACACGTGGGATGGTGGCCCGTATCCCCTGCCCTTCCATGCCCATCCTATCTAATAGGTTTTGGTTAGGGCATTCCCAGCAGGTCGGTGTTCGAACTCATGTTTTTCACATCCTACGTGAATGCACAGAGCAGTTGTATAAAAGGGGGCCTTTCCTTCTTGTGCTGTGGTAGCTATCACTGTGTTTCATGAGAAGCCTTCAGCAACAGGTGTTTTCAGAACTTGCTTTATGGAGTGAGCAGGGAGAGGGGATACTTAGTTGATTGTCCTGACAAGGGTGAGATAAGGTCAGGCTGTTCAGCCCTGTCAGGACTAAGGTGCTTCTGGGCATGTATAAAATGAAGGCTGCGGTGCCACTGAACAGAGGGTTTGAGGATCATAACTTTGCATCGAGGTGCCTCAGTTCCATCTCAGCCCCACTTTTGGCACCCCAGTGATTTGCACAAAGCCATTAAGTCTGTGGCGGGGCAGGTAATGGAATAGTAGAAACTTTCCCAGAAGTTTTACGTAGAGCAGGGGTGTGGATTTACCAACCTCTCTATGTCATAGCTGTGCTAATGGATTTATTTTTAAAGTGGATCGAGCCTAAATGCTGTAAATGGGTTCAAGAAATAGCAAGGAGGATGCCCAGCGGGGGCTAAAAACCTACTTAAGTCCCGGTTTATTTATAGATTTTTCATCAGTTTTTACCACCCAGTTAGGAGCTTGATTCTTTGATACTCTTACACCTCTGAGTGCGGATGTGGTTCTGCCACTATGAAAATATTTATTCAGATATATTTTACCCGTGAGAAATTTTAGTAGAATCCCCTCCCACACTAAGCCTTAAAAACTACAATGTGCTAGAGGAAGATAGCAAAAAACCATTTCTTTTCCAAACGGTCCACATAAGGAGTGACTCCAGTATAATTAGTTTAAAACAGCTCTTCCTGAGTAACTCCCTACACCGACAGGCCTTCAGGGTGTGTCTACACTGCTTTCAAAAGTGCATCTGCAGCACACAGAAGCATTGCCAAACCCCTTATAAACTGGCTCCAGCTTGGGCTTCAGCAGTGGAGATGCTGTAGCTAGGGCTTTGGTGCAGACTCAGGTCACTAGCCTACCATGAACTCACTGTGGCTGCCTGGTCTCTGCTACTGTCCCCTGTCCTTGCCAGTTTGGGTAGGTCAACACATGCTGGTGTCACACCTCCTGCCTTCAGTGCAGACCAGAGGCATGGCCGTGCAACCCTGTGCTCAGAGCAGCTGCATGGTGCTCAGGGCAGCGCCAGCTTCTACCACGCTGACTGCAGTGGTGCGATCGATAGCCACTGAGGCAATGACTGCTTTTGTGCCCCCCAACAAGGGCAGCACATGGGACTGCTGCCCTGGTCACCCCCCTCAATTAAGTTTCTAGTGCAGTTATAGCCCCAGGCCCCAAAAGCTCAGTTCTAAGGGCTATCTCACTCTAGAGTACCTGGTTCATTGAAGTGCCCATGTTAAGGGAAGAGTCAAAGGGGACATGTCTCAGAGTAAGCTCAAGCTGGGGAGTAGCAGCTAGGAAAGGGTCCATATATGTGGGGTACACAGGGATTGACAGACCTCATCAACAGAACCAGAAACCATCTGAGGCTAGATGCAGGCCCTGCCTGCGAGGACAGCTCCACCCAATGCTCCCACCTCATTCCCCATCAGACTTCATGCAGACAAGACCCTATATAAATGCCCCACTTGCAGAAAAAGATTTGAGCTGAGGATTTGGGATTTTGTTTTAAATAAAAACAATTGGCATAGATGGAAAGATAAATCAGAACTGCCCATCTCTGCAGTTTAAGCTGCTGTTCACTATTGCTTCCAAGGTCTGACTAGGTCCTACCACACTGTGGTGTGAATAAGCATGCAGCTATCCTGTGAGAATAGACTTAATATAGCCTTTATTCATACTGTCAGCCATGTGATCAGAGCAGCCAACAGCTAGGATAGTGTAGGGTTAAACAAATCAACATCAATAACTAAAGAGCACTAATCCTATCCATCTCAGGATGCTCTTGAATAGGTTCTACATATTTTGGTGCATCCTGTTGCCTTCCACCAAACTTCAATTCTGTATCTTTTAACTCCTACTATGCCAGGCCTGCTTTATGGCCTATGTTTATCACCACAATATCTGGACTGACAAAGATAGGCACTTTTACTGGGGTTCTTCTCTACCAAGAACTTTCTACCACACTTTATTTTTCCCTCTATTTTTATTTTCCTATCCATCTCAATCTCCTCTGCTTTGGACTGACTAGCCAAGTCCTGCAGGGTGAAGGTCTCACATCAGTGATTCTCAACCTTTTTGGACTCAAGGCACCCTCCATAACTTTTGTGAATTGAATAACACCCAATTTCAAAACCTACATTTATAGATTACAGTGCTTACTTCTTTGCAGAGGATCTGAGCAGTGGAGCTGGGGGATCGACCAGGCAGGGACAAGCCTTAACCTCCATGGATCTGCTTATTTCCTCACACCTCGTGGCACCCTTTCAAAGATCTGGTGGCAGCCCATGGTTCCATGGCTCCCTGGTTGGGAATCACTGGTCTACACTTTGCTACTACCTCAAATTTTGCTCGATGCAGAAATGAACCCATAGTTTTCTTCCACATCTTTTCTGCTTTCTCCATGGAATCCCTCCCCAGTTTCACAGAACTCAATCACTGTCTTTAGCCTTGTAAATGACATAGTCCCCTTGACTTGACTTACAGACAGATAGCTCCTATCTGATGGATAGGCATGTTGGACAGATACCATAGGTAAAGGGAGAGATAGATATGGTAGTTATATATAGAAAATGGTTAAGTATATACTTAAGATGAAATAACAGATAATAACATATGGACAAATATCATAGATAGGCAGACAGACAGGCACCAGAGCTGGCCTTAGGGGTGGGTGACATGGGCAACCACCCAGGGCTCTGTAGTCAGAGGGATGCCACACACACAATCGCAAACACTACCCAGCCCTGGCTGATCCCTGCCCCAGGCAGCAGAAGCAGTGCCCAGCCCAGTCTGCCCCACACCTCCCAAGAGGAGTCAGGTTGGGCATGTGCAGGCACAGTGGCACCTGCTTCAGTCTGCCCGCCTTGCTCCCACACACTGCTCGCCTGCCTGGTGCACCATGCCACTCTGCCTCCCCACCAGACTGTGGCCTGCATCCCTGCCTCTGCCTGCAGCAGTGTGGGTGATTTGGGGGTGCATCAGAATACAAGTTTACCTGGGCCAGATCTGTTCAGTAGGTAGGTAGATGGACAATAGATAGCTAGGATGAAGAGGGGTAGATGTCACCCTTAGGAAGGCAAAGGGTAATGCAGAGTTGCACTTTGCCATTAAGCTCAGCCCTGAGGAGACTCAAGGAAGCAATGTCTGCCTTTGCACCACCTCACATAAAGACTCCACCTGCCTCTGTTTCCCCATTAGCACCAAGGGGCAGAGCTATCCTCACCCATGTCTGTCCCATCCCTGCACTTGTGTGGACCCAGCGATGTCTGGCCAGGTTAGAGGCATTGCAGAAGGTACATCTGTATTCGGCACACTGCTAGGGCTTCTCCCCCACTGACTGTTGAAGTTCAACTGCTGG